GTGGTAAATTTATTCTGAAGTCACCTGACTTAAATGAGCACTCAAACGTTCTAGAAGAGGGCATAGCTGTGTCTTGGCAGCCACTGGCAAACTTTGGGAATGGCCAAGAATGTTTATGCAATTTGTAGGTGTTGCTGGACATTATTAATGCATAGAAGGAAATCAGCTTTGTATGAATTAGAGATGAATATGGAAGAAGATGATGAGATTTTCCTAAAAGTTACTCAGGGAATAAAAAGCAAGAAGTAGAATTTTCTAAAACTCTAGCTCTAATCTGCTCACAGTTAACCGTGGAGAAACTGCTATCTGGGGACAGAAAAAGTCCAGAGATACAGTCTAATAGGAATCTCCAAAGACACCAACAGAAAGGATGAACAACATTCTCACACTGAAACACTGTGACTGCTTTCAATCAAGCAGATTCTTTTGGAATCACAAGCATTTTGTCAATAATTTGGCTCTGCAAATATTTAGCAATATGGTTTCATCTGACAAACACTCAGTAGAAAGCACGTGAATAAAAATGGTGTCGAATAACACTAAAGGGTGTTTTAATACTGTGTACCCTTAGGAGACTGGTGGTGTCCTCTTTTCAAGTCATGCTATCTTGAGCTAAGATTACAGTGTTTAAAACAACGTATGAGAAAATGGAGGATTGAAAAAGAATGCTTGACCACAAGAGAGAGCTAACAGAGAGTAAGTCAGGTGATAGAGGGTTTCTTTAAACCCAGGTTTAACTCAGAGCGGGTGCCATTTTAATGCCTTGTTCGTTTTACACAGATAGACATACCTAACTATACACAGTTTTGTCATCACCTGCCATTAAATATCAACACTGCAAAAACATGTACTTTTGTTCTGTATTAGAGCAAAATGCATACATTCAAATAAAAGTGATTATAGAAATTTTTAGAACAACCAGGTTACATTTCTCCTCCTACCAAATATGCATTCTTTCTCTTCTTTTACTTGTTTATTTTACTTATTGCGCTGGGGAAAGGGATGACTGAACCAAGGGCCTTGTGCGTGCAAAGTATGCTTTCTACCACTGAGCTGCACCCACTAAAATTACAGGCTTTCTAAACAAACTTGCTGAAATTCTGTAGAAACAAGAGGATTCCTATTGCTTCAAATTAAAGTCTTCATATTAGCAGAGGAATTATTGGTTATAATTTATTGAAAACAGATTGTTTTTTCACTTAGAACTTAGAAGTATCAGTCTTGCCATGAGGGTGGTGATCATGTTCCTACCTGGGATGTGTATTATGGATTGTTCCTTCCCCCCTCTTTCCTCAGGAGTGCAGGAAAACACATATTTAGCACTTTTAGGGGTTGTTCCTGGTTTTGGTTTTGGCTCTGGAAACAAGAAAATCAATCAATCTGATTTTATTCAAAACCAGTAGGTGTTCCTGCTCTGGTATAATACGGCTGGAATTGCACAAATGTTGAGATCAAAAGAAGACATTTTCTTCTTCATTTGATTTGAATCAATGTCAATTAATTCAAAATGTCAATCGTGATTTAGATAAAATATGCTCACAAAAACAGTACTGGTTGGTTAAGAAAGAGGTTAATGAGGAAAATGTAATCCCTGCTTGAATGTCACTGGAATGCAAAGCCACATTTATTTGCATGTGTGGTATCTGAAAAAGCTCCAAGGAATTTTGTTTTTGGTGTTTTGAATTGTTTATAATGTATTCTTTTTATTCCATCTACTAACAATTCCCAGAAATGATGAAAATCAAAGACAGAAAAATATAAATGAAGTTGGGTTCTAAGAAAATTACCAGTTACAACATCAGCTCTAGCTACAGTTCATAAAGCAGGTGATTATAGGGACAATATGAAAAAAATGTCATTAAATCAGTAAAAATGCCTTGAATTTTGCCAGTTCTGCAATAGCGCCTAGAAGTCTGAGACTTCAAAACAGTCTATGCCAAATTTTGCAACAAAATTTCACCAATAAAGATGCTCATTTGCAAGGATTTAGTTTAGATATTCCAGACTACAGGACATGAAACAAACTGGATAATTTCTTTGATGTTGTTATATTTTATTAAATCATTCCCAAAGTGTCAAAGAAAACAAATCTGTTCTTTTAAAAGTAGCCTTGGAAAGGTCACCAACTTTTCAACAGAGCAACTTCTCACCTCACTTTTAGTTTATTTTCTTGCACATTTCACGTTCAGGAATCGCTCCATTAAGAATGCTAGATTTCAAAACAACCCTGCTTTCCTCTGAGGCCCAGGAGCCACAGCAGAGCTCAAGGATGGAAGCCACAGGCCATCAATTCACCGGGAGCCTGGCCCCAGAAGCCAGGGATATCTTGGCAGAAAGTCAGTCACATTAATGTTCAGGCCACAAATTCCCATTTAATATGCAATAGCTGCCCTATTGCAGCGAAGTGCTAAATGTTACCTCTAGTTACTAATACCAGCTTTACCATTGCTTCAGCTTTTATGTCAGAACCTTGATTGGTCACTTAAATGCTTCCTTTTAGGCTTTAAAATATGCAAGACTAAAAATAAGCCAACATTAACATGTTTATAACATGTTAATATTTCTATTTCTGGCATGTTCTTTTAGAAACACAGAGTGATACAGTTCTACTGTAACTAAATCCCTCTGGAAACCTATTCCACTAAGGTTTTCAGAGGATACTACCTGCTGGCAGGCAGCCTGGAGCTAAAGGATTGGCTGGGGGAGGGAAGGCGCCCTTAAGGGATTTAGAAGCACGTTCACCTTCCCATTTCACATACTTCTCAAGAGGTCACAGAGCAGTCATTCTCAAAGGTCTGATCCCTGAACCAGTATCAGCGCCACTTGGACACTTGTTAAAAACACAGATTCTCAAGCCCCACTCAGACCTCGTGAGTCAGATAATAGAGAGGGCCCAGTGACTGGTGTTTTAACAAGCTCTCTTGGTGATTCTGGTGCCTTCTAAAGTTTGTCAACGCATGCTATAAGGAATAATACATTTCTGGCACAAACAATACAGAAAATAATCCTGGCTTGATTACTTGTGGGACAAAACTAGTATTATATCTCAGTGCAGAGCTCTGATAAAGCTAAATGAAACAGTTAGGTACATCTCTTCTAAAATTTACATCCGAACCTCGTTTCTTTTTCCCTGACTACAGACCTAAAGCTCTGGCCAGCATGTTTTTACATGAAGAGAAACAAGAAAGGCCACTCCCAAGCTGGGTCTTGACTCAGCTATTAATCTTACCATCCAGAATGGAAAAATAAGTGGGAGATGGTTGATATTCCAGAGGATAGGCTCCAAGAGGTCTACTTATCAGGAAATAGGAAAACAACCTCCCGCAAGTAAACATGGTTTAATCAGCGTCCTAAAACTTGAGCAGTAAAAATAGTATCTGCTTTTCTCAGACACTGGGGCAGAGAGGTAGGAGGAGAAACAGAAGGACCCCTTGCTCCCTATATAACTCCCTAAGTCCTTGAATTGCTCTCCATGGTCCAACACTATTCTAGTTATCCCAGTTAAGATCATGAGTCTCCTGTATAAAACTTTCTGACTCCAGGCAGCCTGGCTTCCTCTTCCATTTCCAGCTTAAGTAAGCACCTTCTGCTTCAGTGTCTGCTCCACAGTTCCTAGTCTAATTAATCTCTCCAATATAGCTATCATTGCTCTCCTAGGACTCTGTACCATTCTTTCTTTCCAGGCCTACTCCTGGGGCTGGAAGCCTGACAGGCCCTCCAGAGTTACTTTAGTGGTCAGGAAAGCTGGGGTAAGACTTTGAAAGCTGGATGCCCACCTGCCAATCCTTTTCACACCAGGTCATGCCAGTGTCAGGGCTGCCAAGGGTTCAGACCCCAGCAGCTCAAGGCAGAGCAGCAGAGGGCAGGCAGCAAGAGCCTCGGCCTCACACCCTAAACCAGAAGAGCATAAATCTAATGGGAACCTTGTTAGAGAAACAGGGAAGTTTCTAAAATTACAGCTTTCAAACATCTTCCTAATGTCACCTGTTATGCAGTAGCCAGTACCCACAAATAATGGCAGGTTTGAGAAATGCATTTAAAAAATCCTTTTGATATTATCTATTCTATTTCATAAGGCTAGTCAAATTTCATATTATTGATTTCTTTATTAATGTTTGGCAGCCTGCAGCTTGAAAAAGAGTTCTCACGGGCTGGGGATTTAGCTCAGCAGCATAAGCACCTGCCTTGCAAGCAGGCAGTCCTGAGTTCGATCTCCGGTACTGATAAGAAAAAAAAAAAAAAAAAAGAAAAAGAAAAAGGAGTTCTCACTTGCACACTGTCGTAAACACACCATCAGTGCTATTAAAAAGCAGTATTGGTAGCACACTGTCTTCATTATTAATGCTGTTGAGTGGTCTATGTGTTGGAATATGTATTACTGTCATTTCAATTAAAATCTTAAAATTATAAGCTATAATAGCACCTCTCTTCTCTTAGTCTTCCAATGAATTTTTAAATAACTTCTATTGAATCCATCTTAACTTCAGATTTGGTGATGATTTGCAACAGCAGCACATATGATGGCCAAATTTTCATGAGCAGATTAGCAATTATTTTCCAAGTTTCAGTATTTTCATTTCATTGAGTTTGGTTTAAATCAAGTTAATATAATTGTACAATGATAGGGTTTCTTCCCTCTCCCTGTTAAAATTACAATACTCGGAAGATTGGAAACATTTCAAAAGATTATGAAAAAGAGGGGTTGAAAACGGAAACGTGTGTCCTCTAGAATAGATTCAGGGCCTTAACTGCCACATGGCACCCCTCAGCCCTCCCTTACAGCTTGGAGGATTTCTGCCGCTTTATAAACATGCACCGTTTAGACAGAGCCTTCCACGCGTGACACACGGAGACAGGATGCTGCACCCACAGGAACGTGCGCACCAAAGCGCGCGTGCCCACCCGCCCCACTGTCATCTGCATCCCAGACAGATTCAGGATGCGGGTAGATTGGAACCGGCCTTAACCTCTCCTCGCTCTCATTCCAAATCAAAACCCACCGTAAACACCGTGAAGAGCCAGGAAACCTCACGGCTTTAATCATTTCCTTTCCCCAAGCTCCATGTGGCACACAGGACACTCCGCTTTCCTTTGGGGCTGCCGTATCCTGCGAGGGGCGCAGAAGAACGCAAAGGTTTCCACGCGCGCGGAAAGCGCCAATCCGGAGCTGTGCTCCTCCAACCTCCTCCGCGCTGCACTCTGAGCCAGCCAGGAAACCCTGCAGCTCCAGCAGGGGTTGAGAGCTGGCGCCACCTGGCTTTCTAGAGAAGAACCAGAGGCGGGAGGTAGAGGTGGTGGAGGGGCCGAAGCCTCTCTTTTCCACCCGGGACTGGCGGGGCGCAGGGAGAAAGCCCTGCGCTGCGAAAAGTGAGGCCACTATCCAGTCGGGAGCTGGGAGCTGCTCTTGCTACTGACTTTAGAATAGCGGGTTTCGCATTTAAAGCAAGTCCAAAGTGCAGAGGTAACTGTGGTAATTAAAGCGTTAGAAAGAAGCACGGATCTGTTTCTGGTGAGCAGCGCCCCTTGTTTTGTGCAAACTCCCTATACCGATGCGGGGCTAAAGGAAAGACAGGAGAAAGGGCATCCTAGGATTTGGATCTCCACTCTGCCGAGACTTCAGAAAAAGCCAGATTAAATGAGGCCCCTATGCCTCGGTTTTTTCACATAAAGAATGGGGACAAGGACGCCCAGGCCTTCAGTAACTACTCCAAAGGACTGGAGAGGAAGTCAAATGAAAAAGTGGAGGGAAAGTGCCTTTGACTTTGCTATTTTCTTAGCAAGGTAACATAGTCATAGAGAAGAATGAGAATGAGCTGTTATGACCCATACAGTGCCTTATGAATTTACACTGTTGGTGTGTATGGGTGTAATGGGTTCATTGAATGACTTAACGGGAGACCACAAATCACTCCATCTAATGAATCTGCACAAGTTATCAGAATACATTATCAATCTATTTCAGCTGCCTTTTAGAGACAGGAATCTAGAGAAAGCTGTTTGCAGACTGTCTTTTCATTCCACATAACCATACAGAAACATAAACACAAACATATGTACAGCAAACATATATATACTGCATGCAGGTATGTACACATGCTTATATGCATGTATAGGAATTTGTTATAACAATTTGTTATAACAATTGATGCATGTATGCTGCTGCTACTTGGTTTACAAGTTTGCATTCACTTTTAACTTATTCCTCACATCATTAGAGAGCATTTTTAAAATTTTATGTAGCTCAGACTGGCCTTGAACTCACTGTGATCCTCCCGGCTCAGCCTCCTGAGTGCTGGGGTTACAGGTGGTGTTTGCCACCATGCCTCATGTGGAGGGCATTTTTAACCCTCATTTTACACGTGAGAAAACTAAACTCAAAAAGGAAAACTTTCTGCAGATTTTGATGATAAATGTTAATAGAACCAATGCCCTCAATTGCAATGCTGGGTTATTATCATGTTCATAAGATGTACAATGGACACCTACCATGTGCCAGACACTAAGGCATGGTGGTCATAAAGAGGCAAGAAACACTCCACTGCCCTCAAAAAACTCACAGTTAGTGGAGAAGAGGAAAAATTATACTCTGCTGGGGCTGGGTGAAGGTTTCCAGGAAAAGGAGACACTTGGGCTAAATCCTGAAGGACAGTTGGGATAAAGTCCACTGGAAAGAAGAGAGGAACAGCCAAGGCTTAAGGGACACACATGAACAGACACAAAGGTGAAAGGCTCTACGAGTGTTCGGTGTAGTTCAGCGGAGATACAAGTTATCGTGTATGCAGGGAGAGTGGTGAGAAAGGAGACTACAGATCATCATGAATATTACATGCGCAGCGTTTAGGTTTTCCTCAAGTCTATGGAACAGGGAAAGGGAGATTGCAAGTAGAGAAATTATATGACCAAACGTGACAGTGTGTGATGCACAATGCACAATGTAAAGAGCTGCCCTGGGAACAGAGTAGATGGGGCACTGGTGGTGGGACAAATGACAGAATGATGCAGGCAAGCCAGGCTTGGTGCTGCACACTTGCAAGAGAATCCTGAGTGAGGCCAACCTGGGAAACTTGAAACTATGTCTAAAAATATAGAAAATAAAAATGCCTAGGGATGTAGCTTAGCACTCAGTCCTCAGTACCAGGCAAAGCTCAGAATCATTGTTGAGGCAGGAAAAAAAAAACACAGTGCAGTTGAAAGCTATTTAGAAGTACCTGGTGACAACTGGCAGGTGATGGGCCCAAGTACTGGATGGAAGAGGGCACAGTTCACATAGTCCAGGGGCATGCATTACGAGTATTCAGTGGGCTAGAAAGAAATTCTGTTCTAAATACTGAGTTTTAAAAATTGAATTATATCTACATGGAAATGTCCTTGAGTAGGGAGTTAGACCTCCAAGAAGAGGTCTGAATAGACACGCCATCAACATCAGCTGAAGTCACAGCTAACCTCAGTTAACAAGGCTTGCTAATGTACCTTAAGTGCTATGTGTCTCACATTGTACAAAATACTTTTAGCAGATTATCTCATTTACTCCTCACAACCACCTCAAAAAGTGTTATAATTATTGCCCAAGGAGAGGGTTTCACTTAAAAACAAAAGAGGTCCAAAACAAGACCTGAGGATTACATTGAAAAGAGCTCATTTTCCTATGTTGCTTAGCTATGGCAAAGACGAGTTATTTAAATAATCCCCACACTTAGATGCAGAAGGCCCCCTGTCTACTGGCTGAATTCTTAGCTCTGCTATTGCCCAGGACCATGTCCTGGAAAGGCTGGGAGCCCCTTCTCCCACTAAGTCTCTGCTAAGGGAGGGTCTCTCAGACATGGTGCTACTTGGGGTTATTTCAATGCCCAAGTCATCAGTGTCCCCATCTTGAAGGTGACACAGGAAAAGATGATTGCAGTGCAAAGAAGCCTCTTGGCCCACCACACACCCAGGAAAAACAGATCATGAGTGTTCCTCTAAAATACACTGGATTCTAGCCCAGCTGAAAGAAGTGGGTATGAGAGAAGAGGTGTCCTAGACTTCACTTTCAACATGGTAGACAGCACTAGAGCCATCGCAGAGCAAATAAGAACAGCTTTACTTCTCTCTCTCTCTCTCTCTCTCTCTCTCTCTCTCTCTCAAACTTTCAACCTTGCACTTGCCAGGCAGGAGCTTATGCCATGAAGCTAAATCCCTGGACCCCTCTTTCTTTTTGACACAGGGTCTCACTGTGTAGTTCAGGTAGGCCTTCAACTCACTGTGTTGTAGCCCAGGCTGATTTTGAACTCACAACATTCCTCCTACCTCAGCCTTCTGGTGTTGGGATTTCAGGTATGTGCCACCCAGTTCTACTACTTTATTCTTAATGGTAGATAATTCTTGTTAGCTCCTCCACTATCCTATTCTATAATACAGAGCACAATTCTTGTCATCATCCCCAATATATGTGAATTGGGAGTTATGTAAGGGAAGAGAATCAGCTGAATACTATTATGAACATTCATTCAATTTAATTTGCTTTTTTTAAAGGTTTGAGTAGAAATGTGTGTCTCTTTTACATCAAGCTCAATTTTAAAAACAAGTGAGACTTGGGACTGTAGCTCTCATTAGAGGACCCATTGTCTTAGTGGTTCTTAAGAGCTCAAGTCTAACACAGTAAAGCAGATATGTTTAAAAAAGCACCACCCCACTCCAAAAAAATGACATGAAAGTAAAAGGCAGTCTGTTAGAGAAGATCAAGGGAATCAGGAAAGGGAGAATAAAGAAGGGGATTGGAGGAGTGAACAGAATGAAAAGGTTACATACATGTGTAAAATGTCACAGTACAACCCTTTATATTGTATAATTGCTGGGCACTAATAAAAAAAGAAGCATCACTCACATGAAACAGTACTGAGTTTGTTTTGAATTTGTGCTCCTTGAGCAGATGTGATGACCCATACCTCCAATCCCAGCACGCAGAAGAGAAGGTCCAGGAAGGAACCAGAGGCCAGGCTGAGCTACATGAGTTCAAACCAGCTTTGAGACCTGACCACACAGAGAAGTCCTGACTCCAAACCAACCATTATCTTACTTTGAAGTCATGTATTGTGTTCATGTTTTGTTCTTATTGGTATGTACTGTCCTGTTTTGTTTGACTTTGTTTTTTGATCTCTGATGGTATGGGCAGCTGTTCTGAAGATGGCAAGAGGCATTATGGCAGCCATTGTTGATTGCCTATTATCTTGTTTTGAAGTCCTGTGTAACTTGCACTGTTTTGCTTTAATGGGCTTTATTGTTTTATTTTGCTTGGTTTTATTCACTTTAAAATTAAAAAAAATTATTTTTTTAAAAAATCCAACCAACAAACAAATACAAATAAAGAAATAAATGATGTGCCTGAACCTGAGTGAATTATATCCTGGCCATTTTTCCTGGTCTGAGTGCAAATGAGAACCGAAGATGATTGAAGCAGAAAAAGCAGTAGCACATATATGTCTGCCCTTCAGTCACTTTTTTAGAGGAATACAGCCCTAAGTAGGCTCTCCAGCCATGTGATTTCAGAAATTTAGCTCTCGGGACCACAAGTCGAAGGGGTTGGTGCACCTTGAAAGCCTTTTCTAAGTTTGACATTCTCACTACTTCACATTAGAAATCAGCAAGGTTCTGGTAGCTATTCTGCTTACATGTAACGTGAGTAAGGAAATCACTGAATTTGTTTTGAATGTTGACATATATAATGAGCAAACATGAGAACTCACATCAGATTTATGTACCCAAAAGAGAATATTATCAACTTTTCCAGCTAAGAATAATTAAATGTATATGCCCATATATTGTAATACGTTGGTTCACAAATACTTCTGTTCACAAACAACTCAGTTCTCAAGCAAAAGCTTTTGACAAAGACGTGCTTCCCTTTGCAGATTCCACATCAGGTGATAAACACAACTGCAGCCATCTTCCCCAAAGTCATAAAACAAACTAAGTTTGTAAACTGAGGTACCACTGTATATCTATATTTTATGTATATTCATATATAGAGAAACACACAATCAGAGACAGAGGGAAAAACAGTAGTGAAACCAACTGAGTGACCAAACATCCAGCAGGTTGATGGCAAACGGAGGTCTACAGCACATTTTCTGACTATTGGAAGTGTAATTGCCCACTGGTCTCTGTGTATATCATGTCTGTCACAAGAAAGCTGGAAGATTTGATGATTCATTTTTAATTAGCTCCATGTGTGCTGTGCTTCCTTCCCCCACCATCAATATTGTGTTAGAAAGAGCTGCATGTTCTGGCGACAGCATGGATCTTCTTTTAAATGGGAGTCCAAAGAACTCACCCCTGCCTTTAATACTAACTCTGCATGTAAATTTGCCAAAGGATAATATCCTGAGTTCATTTTTCAGAGGTGACGAAAGGAGTCCACTTAATCAATGAGGGAGAAAAAAGGAAGTTAGCCAGCTTGTTCCTCCACTGATGGGCAATGTGGGATGGTGAGGCAGCCTGCACCAAGCATGGGAAAGGGGCTTCTTCCCCAGTCCCAGATCAGCTACGCTCCCTGGGCCAGTAACTTTTACCTTTTTTGGGTCTCAGGTTATCTTTAGGACAATCCACAAGTTAAACTGGATGATTTTTATGACCCGGAACATTCTGAGATTCCCCTAGAGAACTCTTGAAACAAACTGAACTTTAGCCAACTATTCTCTCAAAAAACAAAAAACTGAAACAGTGGTCTAAATAATAGTAAAAAGAAAAATTTTGCAACCGAATCTTCCTTCACAGAAATTAAAAAGTGGATTGACAGCCATAGCGCGACTTAGTGTGTTCAGTCTTCATTCGGTAACTATATAGTAAGCGTCCCTGTACATGGAGTATGCTAAGGCCTGAGGATACAAGCCAGCTATCTTGACCAAACTATGGGAGCAGTTACCAACAGGAAAATGTCATTGCACAATGCGGAACGCGACCTAACATCTTTGAATATGATAATGTTTCAACGCTACCACCACCAGCTCTCGGTCCCCGGCAAGTTGCAGCTTCTGGGCTCAGGTCTCCATCGCCCACCTATCTTCACAGCGCCTTCCTGGAGTAGATTCTGCTCCCGAAAGGCCTACTCGGTGGAGCCTCCAACTGCTTCCTGTGAACGCAAACCGCCCTAGGTAACCTGAGCCCATGGCTCCCTCCCATTTGGGGAGGAAAAAAGTGGGGGGCGGGGGAACGAAAGAAAAGAAAAGAAAAATACTGAGAAACATATTTTGGCAGGCAAGGCCTTCGGAGACTACCATGTGTGCTCCATATTGAGCAACTCCTGGTCTTTGAAGTTTTTCTGAATGTAAAGGCATTATTCTTTCTCAAACTGCGGCTAAGTAGTACAGACATTAAAACAATGGGGCCAGAACGCGCGGACGCGGGTCTAAGTGTTTAATTCGTCCTTCACCCAAGCGCTTGCCACCAGTTCGCCCCCCGGTGTGCACCCGGGCAGCTGGCAGGGCTGCACCCCCGGCCCATCCCCCTCTGCAGACCCGGCTTTGTCTGGACCCTCGCACACCTTAGCGCCGAGTTCGGAAGTGAGTACTTTCCCAAACGCCCGGCGAAAACTCCCAGATGTTTCCTGTGTCACGGCATCGAGCCCAGGGTGGATCCCGGGCGTGCTCACCGCGGCGGACCCCGGCGCCCGCGAGCCCGGTGCCGGCGAGCTGCGGCCCCCGCGCGGGGCTCGCGGGGCGGAGGCCGGCAGCGGGCGCCGAGGGCAGCGGGCGCAGAGGGCAGCGGGCGCCGAGGGCAGCGGGCGCAGAGGGCAGCGGCGGGCGGCCGTTCACTACGTGCGGAATGATGACTCGCGGCCGACGATCCTAGAACATTCTCCCTGCGCTCCCGGGGGGGGGGGGGTCCGTGCACGCGCCCCTGCAGAGGCCTGCTCCCCGGGCTCCGCTGCCCTCCTCGGCGGGGCGGACCGGCGCCCCCTGGCCTGGGCGGGGCCGCTCTGCAGGGCGCACGGCGGGGCGAGGGGCTCCCCCCCCCCCCGGGCTCCCGCCGCTTCCGGTCCCGCCGAGCACTTCCGGGGTGCACGCCGCCAGCGGGGCACAGGGGTGCACTCGGGCCGGTGAACGTCGGGGTGCGCGACGTCAGGGCCCGGGTAGTGGGGTGCAGCGCGCCCCACCCGCCCGTGCCTTCGCGTCCGCCCGGAGGAGCGCTGCGGGCTCCCCAGGTCGGCCTCTGCCGAGGTGCTGCACCTATGGGTGAATTCCCTGGGGTCCCCCAGCTCCTGGCCTCTGAGTGTGCCTGGGCTCCGCTGGGTGACTGCTCACTGACCCCGGAGGGTCAGGAGAGGGGCACTGTCGGGCAGAGGTCACAGCGATCCTTTGCTTGGTCGTCTTGGAGCGCGGCGCCCTCTAGGCGAGGGTTTCCCAAGCCCAGTGAGGCTGGGTTTGGCTTTGGGGTGAAGCTGGGCAAGCATCCTCCCGAGACTGTCACCTAGAGGAACCCCAAACCGACCGCACAGGCACAGCTACTCAAGGCGCACCTTTGCTTCCAGGTGCACCCAAATAACTGGCCCCTTGTCTGCCGCAACTCTATTCTGTCCACCAGAACCTGCGGTCTCAGCGCCTGCAGTGTGGTCAGATCTTTGCCAAGCCCACTGGCTTATAAAGTCAGGTTCCTGCGCGTGAGCCTGACTCAAGCCTGGGGATTAGTGGGTGTTCGGGTTAGTCGAAGGGTAGGAGGACACCCATTAAAATTACTTCTTTTCTGGAATGAATCAAAGGCACCCAGAGAACACTATGATATTGCAGGCCTGCACTTCATGCTCGGCTTCCTTTTACTGACCCTTCCTCAACCCGGCTTTCCCATCTCAGGAGGAGATTCAGAATTCCCCTTGTGGGGAGTGGGTGAGGAAAGAGCTAGTCCAGGTAAGTATGGGAGCCACATGGTCTGGCGAATTGAAAAAAGGAAAATCATCTCCAAATGCAGTCAGGCAGGTGGGGGTGGATCGCAGCTGAAGGAAAATGGGCGATGTGAATACCTCTGAAGCAGGCTCCACACCCGAGGCTGAGGTGTGAGGAACAGTCAACATTTGGAGCCCTGGAGTCAGAAGTTTTGGCAGCTGTTAGATAACTTCCTGATCCGCAATAAAATTCATGTGACCAAGAGGATGTTTCCGCTATTCTGTTGCCTGGCTCCTTTCCTCTCTTGCCAACCCTTCAAGTTTTAAGAGACTTTACTGGATCCCAGTTGGATGGTGATGCCCGCCAAGTGTGGTGCCAGAGGACGGGGTGGGGTGGGGGTGGGGCTAGAAACACGCGGCAGGGCGGGCAATGGAAATTTCAGGGAGCTGCTGCTTCCCAGTTCTCACCTGCGTGGTAACACCGAGGCTGTTTTCCGCATGGGGAATCTGAGGGCTTCACTTTGCAGCCACCAAGTAGTCTTTCCTTTCTGTCACCAAAAAGTCCAAACTAAAAGTTCCAAGAGTCTTCTGTGAGTTGGGTGCTTTCTGGCCACAGCAGCCTTATTTCTGGAACGTGATCATGCATAATGAGGGCCTGACTACTACGGAAATATATACAAGATGTTTACTTTTCTTCCTAAAGATATAAAAATGAAGCCTGAGCACACCGCTTTGGCTTCTGGAGTAACATAGCGCGCCCTAACACCTGCCAACCTTGACCTTTAGCGGCTGAGCAAGAGATTACTACTTGCTTGGTCTCTGGGTGCATCTCCAGGCGCCCAGGTGGCCAGTGCAGAGGTTGCCTCTCAGTCTCTGTGGCTGGCTTGAAGCTGTCGTTCTTCCTCTCAGGCCCCCTGTCAAGTACGTTTGGCAGAATGGAGGGTGGAGTGGGGATCAGAGTCTCTCTGCATCTTAGGGCTTCTGTGTGGGTTCCAGGCTGTTTTGAGGGACTGTCCCCTGACTGCAGCCGGAAAGTAATTGGATTGGCTGATGGGCAATGGCAAGAATACAAAGATCAGCCCGCATCCAACAGGGTGGCAGAGTGCAAATGGAGGCCCAGCAAGGAAAAAGGCTTTTGAGATCTCTGGGAACAATCGATGTTTGCCATGTTTGCGGGGTCAGGAGCCACTAAGAGGGGAATGGCACACAACTGGGAATCTACACCTCACCTCCGTAAAGGAAGACAATCAGCTCACATTTTCTGAGTTTCTAGCAAAAGAATGTGCAAACTTTCATGAAGACTCAAGGAAATGCCGAGCTATGCAGACCACCAGGTCCAGCTGCAGTAACTTCAGACCCGTTATTTGGCAATTGAGAAAACAGAGAACCCACGATGTTGATTTCAGGTCACAAAGCCAATCCAGAAGCCTGACAACACGTCGTCCTCTGGCACATACTTGGCGGCATCACCATTCAACTGGGATCCAGTAAAATCTCTTAAAACTTGAAGGGTTGGCAAGAGAGGAAAGGAGCCAGGCAACAGAATAGCGGAAACATCCTCTTGGTCACATGAATTTTACTGCGGATCAGGAAGTTATCAGGTTGTGGCATTCAGCATGTGACAGCCTGGCAAGCTACTTTTAGGGACAGCCCTAGTTCTACAGGAATGATGAATCTGTCCAAACTCCTGAAGGCTTTTAAGACAGTGTCATCTTTAGGGTTTTCTTTATTATTAAGGACCTTAAATCTGCTTTGAAGGAAGAAGTGTTGGTTAGTTGTCTTAGGTACACAGGGTTCATCTTCTAACACCCTCCCCAAGCACTGCATAGCCTCCTTTTTTCAAGAAACCGCCTTCCGGCTGCAGAGTCACAAACTGTTGAAGTGCAGAGCCCACTGGTAAATACCTAAGAAACAACAGTACCAGTGGTATAGTGAGCAGCCCATAGCTTTTGCAAAGAGCACAGGCAGAGCTGTATTGCTTTTCTCATTTATATCCCTTTCCTTTTGGTCCTGGCTTAAATCATTCTGGTCATTAATAATGACAAGATCACCCTGGTCCAAGTCACCCAGGATGGCCAGGAGCCCAGAGGCTCCCAGCAGGCAGCCAGGCTCCACACATTTGTTCCAGGGCCAAAGTCTGAAAGTGCCTACACCAGCCTTGCCAGCCCTGCCCAGGGCTTTTCGCACCCCACCTGTTGCCCACACCAGCAGCTTTCCCTACTGTGGTCCCTGGGTAAGCCCCTCCACCCCACCCCCACCCTGCCAGACCAGGCTGCTTGTTTGCAAATGTGTGGTTTCCAGGCAAAGGCAGAGAATTCCAGAGATACTGAAGGAGGAAACTGGGCTCTAGGAACCATATGGAGAAACCCAGTCAAACAGAGAAAGGCAGACCTACAGCTACCTTTGTTGGAAATTCAGGAGAAATTCCAAATATCTTTCAGATTTTGCACACAGTTCTTTTCCTTTCCTTTCTTTCTTCACACACTTTATTGTTCTTTAAGTTTTGTGCTTGAATTTCTTGATTTTTGCATTTTCAAAGCCCCCGGAGTCCCATGAGAAGAGGAAATGTCACTGTTGGATCATTGCCATCCTCCTCAGAGGAAGAAGGCCTAAGTTGAATTCTAACTGGCATCTTAATTCTAGCCCTAGGGCCTTGGGTGGTCAACTTCTTTCTCTCCTTGTCCAGTGCAGTGCCACCAGCCACTGATGGCAGCAGAAATTACAGCAGGATGACAGAGAGACAGACACCGAACTTGGTTCTCACCTATTAGTCACCTTTGTTATCACTGAGTTAGATAATCAGTAACTGAAACCGAGAAAAATAATTACCTCCTTCTCCCACCTGAGGGACTATAAAGTGAATTAGTAGCTGTTTGTGGGGTTAACAATTCCCATTTAATGGCTGCTCATTTACTCATCTCTAGATTTGGGATTGGTACTCCACAAGCAGTCAGGGCCCAAAAGGTTCAGAGGAGCCAAAAATTCAGGAAATTCACCTGATACCCACTAGAATATTTGTGCAGAAAGGGAATGAGATGGTCCAATATGGATAAATGTGACTTTAGGGATTCTTCCAGAATAATTCATCTTGGTGCCCACTCAGAGTCCTTCCCCTGACATCCTGACATTTGACTTCCTCAAAGAGAAGAATGTAAGGGGAGGCCCCTCCTCCTTCCCTTTCCCTCCTCTCCCTGCTCAATGTTACTCAAAACTATCATCAGAAAACTGAAGCGAAAGGGGAACGTGGCTAGACAAAGGAGATCTCTGCTGAGACTGGCCTGTAGGATGGGGAATGGGGTGATCACTCCCACTACGCCCCTGAGCACACAGGCCTCCCCACAGCCCTGCACACTCCCCTTCCTTGCTTGTCTGTTATCTCACCTCTCTTACCTTCTGCTGAATCCTCAAATCAAAAACTCTAGGCATTTTCTGCAGAATGTCTGCAGTCCCCAGACTGCATTTCCACGGGGGAGAAAGAAGCCCATGAAGCAACTACTGGATAAGGAATTGCAGAGAGGTATTTGGATCAGAAAGCTTGGGAGGTGGGTTCCTGGAGCTTTGCTTCCAAAGGCTGACAAGCGGTTTCGAGACCCCTAATGCAGCCCTCTCCTAGCTTAGGGGTAGGTAATGCCTTCTGCTTACTCCCTGGACAAACTCCTGGCCCTGAAAAGTGGAAAAGTGGATGGGTAGCACTTGCAATTCCTTCCTGGTCTCAGTCTTCTGAGCCTGAGTTTTCCTGTCTCAGTCTGAAGGGAGAGTTTTAAACATTCTTAAAATGGTTTAGGTAGAAACTCAAGTCCAATGAATTTGAATTGAAGGTTTCTCAAACTGTGCTGACATAAGAGAAGAAAAGTGACCCCTGAGGGACACCTGTAGTTGTCCGTGAGTTTCTCTGGCTGAGTAAGAATTGCCGTGAGTATTTTGGTGAAATGAATAGGTGTATGGACACTCCAACTTTAAATGGTGCCTATAGCTTCAAGTTCTCAGGAAAGGATTCCCCATCATTTAAATCACCCTCTAGAGCAGGGGCTCATAGGAAGCGGCTGAACTTCCTCTTGCTGGTTACCAGGAGGTCTGAACCAGGCTGCAGGCTCTCTCTAGGTACCATGGAGTCCTAAGAAGCCTGG